ATTTTTTAATAAATTTTAGACTTTTTCATGTCCTTAAAGATTGAAAGTCCTTTCAAAAAAAATTCTGATGTCGGAGACAAAAACTAAAAACGTAGTTTTACTATATTTGGCCACTAGTTTCGTGAGTATACTGATACGTGTGTTTTGAAATTTGTTTGTTGTTTTTTGTCGCACATTGTAATAAGTAAAATTAATACCACTATTTACTGAACACATTTTTTTTTTTTAATTTCTGCGTGTCGAAACATGTTTTGTTTTGTAAGTATGTATTTGCGTATGTGACTTACACAACGCTCTACGCGAGTTTCCAATCCAAAATACAGTAATCGTATTAGGTATAATTTTCTGATGTAAATGAAAGTTATGAAGCCTTCGGCATAGATGAATACAAAATTATTTTTACTTGTTTATGGTTTATTTTTCTTTTATTTATTTTCCTTAATTTTTCAATTAAAATACAGTTCATTCTGTAAAAAAAATACATATGAAAGCAAATTTTGGATTATGAAGAGAACTAAAAGAAGTTCATTAAAATCAAGGTGAAATTATACCAGGTGTAGTATTTAATTAGAGCGAGAAAAAGATTTGAAACTATCTTATTCGTAAATTTGCCTTAGAAAATTTCTACAGAAGTTAGTCGAATGCCAAGAAAATTAGAAAATAAAGCCAAAGAAGTGTTATATTACTTCACCTGTTTACAATTTCACCATTGATTAAAATTTCAAACGTTTTTCTCAGAACACTTAGTTATGTAGGTATATGAAAATCCAATTTTATTTTTTTTTTTTTTTCAAATTACGTATGTACGCCATTTTCGGTTCGTTAGCAAGTTTAACTGAAACTCTTATTACATATGCATGCACATTATTTTATGAACGTTAACTCATTACAAACAATTCTCGAGCTTCGATATCTCCCTTATATTTATTCACTTTTTTAATCTCCACCGCAAATTATCATTTTAAACTGCAAACACAGACACAAACAGCTTTCTACACAACTTTCAATTAACATACGAAACTATGCATTAATTCGGAGCTTAGAAATTTTCAATTCAGTGCGCTTGGTGCGCATATGCTTTTTCCCAAGTAATCTAAATTTATTATTTACCAATTGGTGCAGAATAAGTAAGCGCACAAATGCGCTTAGTTATGAATAATTTGCAATGCGAGCATTATAAGTATAACAATGGAAAAGCTTATATACACACATAATTTTTTCACAATGTGCTTTAAAATAATAAACAAACAATTTAAAGTATTTTGTTCCAAATTATTAACATATGTATGTACATAAATATGTATAAATGCTTTAGTAAACGAATAAAGAGAATAATAAAGTGAAAGTCTGTGTTAGCTGAAATAAATTAATAATGGCGTATTATTTTCTATAATTCTTGCCCTAAGACCTTAAATTGGGAGCAAAATTTTAAAGCACATGGGCTATACTTACTACAATTTTGTTTAAGAGACTTTAGTATTAATCTAAGCGTTTGCTTTTAATTGATTATTTAACCCCTACAACTTTTGAATACAAATTAAAATAGAAAATTTTTGATAGACAGTATTGTATATTTGAGATTAAATATTGTGAAATTTTAAAATGAATTAAAATTACCAAAGATTTTAGTTGATATCATATTTTAAGAAAAGTAAGTAAATCAAATGCAAGCACACATATACACATGTATATACAGTGGCGTAGTGTGAAAATGGCCCCAACTTAAACTAATTGATATTTTTTTTTTTGTAATTTAAATTATACTCGCCCAAAAAAGAAGAATTTATTTATTTATTGAAGATATACTCGTAATTAAAAACACAAAATTATATTTTCAACCTTTTTTTTGTACATAAATTGAGATGAGCAAAATTTTTAGTTAAATGGCTGCCATTTTCACTGTGAGCCACTGTACATACATATTTATGTTATAATCTAAAAATTTTATATTTTTGAGCAAACATAAATTTTTTATTGCGCATATTAAACTTTATTATTTACGCACAAAGATTATTTCACCGCAATCATGATTTCTACGTATAAATCCTAAATTTTTGTGTAAATGGGTTCTCAGACAATTGCATTTATTTTAATGTTTTCATCAAATATTTCCCTTTTTACTTAGCGAACGTACATACCAGTACAAGCATACGAGTATGCACATACATACGCTTGTTTCTAAGAAAAAGCATGCATAAATTTTTGAGTTCACATATAATATTACGTTACATTTCGCTCCCTTTTTACACATACAATAAATGCTACTAAAGAATTCATTTATATTCAGCCACAAAAAATTACCAACGACCACGTTTTGCATTTCTAATATCTACCTAAATATTTAATACCAAAAGCAAAGTGGAGGTTAGGTCACTTAGAGCGGAAACATATATTCATATATAAGTATATGTGTATGCATGTATTTGAAGTTTACCAAAAATTTAAATATACTATATGTGCTATACATACAGTTATATGCTGCTTTTATTAATTTTAATATTTTATTAAGCAGCTTCGATTGAATAATCCGCATGACACATAAAAATTGGATACCTAAGTTATAAGTACCCATAGGCGCTTACATATGTATACTTACGTTTGTATGTATAAGTAATGTACACACAAACGCTCGAATCATAACCACTAAAATAAAATTGGCATTCAAGTAGCTCCAAATTGTGTGCATACAGAGTATATTTCTTGCACTTAAATTTATATGACAGATTGGTGTGTCATTGAGTAGTCTGCAAGAACACGATTTTGTACCCGTGACAAAATGAAGCATTTACGGAAAGTACACACAACAAAGTACCTGTATTTTGCGTGCAAGCGCCTTCTGATCCGGGTCGTCATTGCCTCCGGAACTCCATCCAATGCTAGTGGGTATAAAGAGAAAGGAATGGAACCATTGTGGTGTAATGCATCTACCAAGCTAACTGGGATTATCTCAAGGCTGTGGTGGGAACATGCTGCACTGTTTACAGTGAAGAGTATACCCCTCTCAGGAAAGCACTCCAATGGATTCCAGATTCCGATCTAAAAACGGTGGACGTGCTCTTCTGCCTCCGTGCCCAAAATTCGGGGGTTGACACCAAGCACTGACATGTCATCTCTCACAAAAAGGGTAGCAACCGGGAAGGTAGAGAAGTTGCTACTCTGGTTGTGAAGATGGACCAGGGCTCTGTGGATGCCCTCGGTTTGAGATACGGAAATCGCATGGGTCTCTTTTTCGGGACAATTTCTTTCATAACTGATCCTAAATGAGTGACCAAACAGCGATTCGTGCTACCGTCCAGTGACGGTTAAATACTCAAATCATCGCTACGGTAATCTCCACTATACATTCGGCACCCTAAGGATATTTTGCAGCCACGACGACGGCTACAATATCGTCCCTATAATTTTCGCTTCTTTAGGTACAACTAACTTTAACACGTCATCGTTTACTATGTCCCATAGCAGCGACTCTAAAATCGATTCCTGAGGTACACCGCCTGAGACCTTATGCCTTATTACACCTAATTTTATCCCACACAAAATCATTTTGTTGCAGGATTAGCTGCAAATGAGCTTAATTAAATACTTGGAAACCTCAAACTTCGGGAGCGCTTCGAGTATTTTTTGCCAATTTTCCAAATTAAAGGCATTTTTGATATCTAGGTATTCAGTATTCTAGGTATTCATTATCCCCGCCTTTCCATCGCTTTCCAGCTATTTCATTTATCTCAATGCCTTTTACCAGACCTACTGCATTGATGGTAGAGGGTTTACCAAAATCCAAACTGATTTGGTGCAAGACCAATCGTTGATGAAACAATGGCACCGGTGGCCCGATTCGCTATAATGCTCACAGGATCATACCCATCGTATAAAGCATACAAATCGGGCGGTAAATAGCTGGACAGCCTGGATGCTTATTGGGCTTAGGCAGTAAAACGAGGCGTTGGACCGTCCAACGTTTAGGAAAAACGCCCATCCTTACACAAGTGTCGAACAAACAATGATGAGATAAATAAAGCAAGTGCCACAAACTGTTTGCTGTTACACCTGACTGGTAAAGCCGCCTTGGATGGGAATGCTACCGCGAGATACTGCAATCGACCACCTTTTCTGGAACTTAATTACGGTACCAAGCGCTAATATTTGAAATATGGACTTTTGACCAGCTTTGCTAATAATAAATGCACCCGAAAAGTTTTCCCTATATCGGAACGTATGTAATTCTTTTTGGTCATGCAAAAAATATATTTTTGATATATTTTTGACTTCATAAAAGTTAAAAATATTTACAAATTTTGAGATAAAGCCCGATCATAATTATAGTTATATTTTGTACAGGGTTGAGGTACTCCCTGCAGAGCACACAAATTGTGCAAAGTGGACGGTACTCTGTGTGCGAACACACACACACTCACAACACGTAGTCGTACTTACAGTGTCTGGCATTGAGCAATTTTAAAAACTCATAAACATTTATGCGCCATATTGTGTCATTTTGCGCAATAAAAAACAACAACAACAATGGCAACATAAAAAAACGACAAAATCTACGGTAAAGAAAAAAAACTGAAATAAAAAACCAAAGCAGGCAAATTAGATAAAGAAAATTGCAAATGGAAATGAAAATGGAAACAACAAATAGGAAGAGCAAATGAGCCTTAGAATATGAATATGTGTGAACAAGCAAATCTAGTGCGGATTTTTGCGACTGCTGCTGGTTGTAAAAATTCCAGAATAAAAAAGAAAATAATAATAAAAAAACAGACACAAAAACGAGTAACGTGAGAGGTAGGTAAGGAGCGAACGTGTAAAAAATATTAAGCCACATATCCTTTTTATTTGCCTTCATATTGCAGATAATCAAATTTTATGATTTTGTTGCTGGAAACAAAGC